TCAATGTCGGCATCAGCAGGGCTTTCTTCTTCATCAGGTACTGCTTCTTGCACTTGAAAGCCAGCATAATGAAAGCATCTGTGTATTGTTGTCGCCTTCACTTGCTTCCAGGCACGAGCCAAAATGTAAATGGCTGCCAATAAATCTATGCTGTAGCATTTCCCCCTGTCTGCATTTCCCCCTGTCTGTAGCATTTCCTCCTGTCTGTGATGGAGCAATTGTCTGTGGTAATGAACTTTAATGTTCTGAATAACCCCTTGATCCTTCGGCTGGATCACTGCCATTGCATTGGCTCGCAAGAACTACAGAGTGATGGCTTGGAGTCTTTCAACCTGGCTGTGGGCTGGGCAATTACCCACGATGAAGACAACCTTCCTGTCTTGCCTCAAACTCTTGCATCTTCCTCCTGTAGCTAGCCAGTTTTTGAAAATGGCTATGGTCATTCACGCTCTTCCATTCTCATGGTACGCAACGGGAAGGTGTCGAATGCGTTTGAAACAATGTGGGTGCCTTGATTTTCCTATTACCAACAGCTTCAATTTCTCATCTCGTGCCATGTTTGCACCCACCAGCACAGCGATGCTATCTTTACCGCATTTTCCTTCACCACAGGCTTTGCCATTGAAGGTGAGAGTCTTTCATGGAAGCGCCTTATAAAAAAGGCCCATCTCGTCGACGTTGAAGACGTTTCGTCGCTCAGAGCTCATCAAAATTTGCTCAAACTGCCTCTGTTGCCAGTCGATGCAAATGTCCCTGTTGACTGCAGCACTCCCACTTGAGATTGCTTTGAAGACTAGGTAGGCCATGATGTGTTTTGAAGCGGCTGAGCCGTATGTCACTTAGGACGAAGTTCTCAACACCCATTTGCATAGCGATCTCTTGAGCTTTCTGCCCGATAATCGGTCCGCTTATGGGCAAATTGGAACTCCGTGCATGCTTGAACCACAGAAAAAGAACTTTTTCTAGTTGTTCATAAAGCGTCCTCCGCATCCGCATCTGTTTAGATGTAAAGGTCCCGTTCTTTACAGCGCCTTAAACCTTTAATCCGTCTTTGCAGATCCGCGATAGCGTTGATTTCGGAAGGTTGTATTTTTTTGCCACCTCTGTCTTGGGCAGGCCGCTTCGATCAAGCTCCTGAAGAATTTGCAGCGTTTTTTTTTTTAAGCGAGAGCGTATGGTCCGGCCACTTACTTTACATCGGGCGGAAATAGCACCGTGATCCACTGCACTTAGCAGCACAAATAGGCCTAACACAAAACTGACTCGCTGGCTCGGCTCCCACAGCCACCACAAGCGAGAATGGCTACTGGATTGGCTTGTTTCAAGGTGTTGCCATGGTTGTGAGACTATCTTTATTTTGAGCGACTCTATGCTGTGTTTAGAGTTTGTGCAGTTTAACCGTAGGTGACCAATAAACATTGTTTCGATTAACCGGTTAATTTTACTGTGCAACACGTAGAAATCCAGATATATGAGCCAATTTGGTTCTGTTAATGAGGCATTTTCCTTTAAGCAAGTTTAGTTTATTGGGAGTCCACTGTATTTACGTCTGCAGTAACAACAGCTATACAACTGGACTTGGTCAAGAGGATGTCATCTGAAGCATATATAAAAGCATTCTGAAGATTCGTAGCTAGAAGAGGATCGTGTACAACAATTTGCAGCAACAATGCAAGAGCGTTCAAGAAATCTGAGAAAGAGATAAGGAAGATAATAAAGATGGCAGTTGAAAGGATGCAGCAGTATAACAGTAACCTGAAAGTGAAATTGAAGTTTAATGCAGAGTTCTGTGGTGGGGAGGATTTTATGAAAGACTGATCAGAAGCTTTAAGACGTCCTTGGCGAAGACTATAGGAGCTCAACGTATGGATGAAGAAGTACGAACTATGGTTGTTCAAATGAAAGGAGTAATTAAAACAACCGGCCTCTTATGTGTATGACGATCCTAACGAGCCCCAACCCATCACACCGGTGGGTGTTATAGGAAGCAGGCAAGCAATTAACAAGCAGGCATACGACACACTTGGACAATACAGTTTGCTGAATTACTCGAGTACAAGAAAACAGGCCATGATAACATGGTGGAACAGATGGAAAAGGGAGTACCTGAGGCAGTTTACAACGCGAAATGGCGTCTCCTCCTTCAGAGGTAATACTTTCCTCCATTTTGCGTTGTAGCCTCCATTTTGGGTGCCTCCATTTTCGCGAGAGCCTCCATTTCCCGTTGTAAACCTGTGTGTTCTCACATTCCTGTTAAGCATGTTTTGTCGTACCTGGACAATAATGCGCTGTGTGTTTTGCAGGGAGATAAGGAAGGTGGCTTCGCAGTTTTTTCGCGAATCATGCTTCTTGGAAAAAGCTAATGATGCTATTTCTAAGGTGTTCCATGTAAAAGATGGCGTATCGTTGAACAAAGTAAAAGCAAAGGCTATCCAATTGTGCAAAAACATGAACGTAGTTGGAACTCTAAAAAGTATTAAAAAAAGTAAGAAGAATAGCGTCGATGTATGTTTTAATGCAAAAACTCACAAGGTCAACACTCCTTTTCGAGTAGTAGTCTCGGAAATAGGTACTTGGCAAAAAGAACTCGCTGTTTTTTTGTTAGACAAACTCAATCTTCTCGAAGTCCGAGATCCGTTTTTAGTCAAGAGTTCTGATAGTATTTTAAGGTTCATGGAAGCTCATGAAAATGAAGGGCTAAGAGTCTTCTCAATTGACGTGACAGACCTGTACTATTCCCTCCCCCATCCACAAATACTAAAATGTGTTGGAAATAGCGCTCTGTCTTCTCAGTCTATTCTTTCCTGTGTTCGTTTTTTCACCTCGCGCTACATAAATTTCTTTCAAATGTTTCACCAACAAGCCCACATCGCCACTCTTGTTCAGCTCGGGGATGAAACAATCGTAGTGGGTACGGTGTCCTGTGATGTGTGCCAGGGAAAATTGAGCCACAACTTGGACGAACCATCCTTTGGGCAATTCCGCCTAGAATAGTGGCAGCTTGACAGTGACATGGCAGATGGCCAAGTTGGCAACAGACGCGGTAGCAGCGCCTACGTTGACAGTGACCACCAGAATGGAGTTTCAGGGGGTGTGGCTCAAGCGGGGTGCAGCGGAATCATCGGGCAAATGCGGTCCAGTGGTCATGCGCTGCTGCTGATGCACCTGTTGCTGGACCTGCAGTATGTGCAAATTGTTGTGCTTGCTGGCGCAAAGTGGAGAGGGCTTTCGAGTCTGCCATGGTGGTGTGGTTAGATCGATTTCAGGGTTGCCAGTTGTGGGATGCTGCGTTAATGGAAGGACACAACCCAACATTAAATATAACTTCTGTTTACACAACCCAACATTAAATATAACTTCTGTTTATTAGCGTAGTAGCAGCAGTGTAGCAAGCATGCTGATGCTGTGCTCAAATTGTGAGAATAACGATGGTTCTTCTGAGCTTGGCAGCTTGGGTTTATAGCCATCGATGATGACCTAAACCTTCAGTGGCGCTGCATTGGCGCTGTCCCTTATTGGACGCGTGTTGCAGCATGCGGCCGAGTCACACCAGCTGTGCCGGTTTGTGGACAGTGTGTTGCCACAGGTGTGAAAAGAGAGGGGTGCTTCCTTCACTTCCCTTTCTCACTCCTTTGCTATGCTGTAGAATACCTGCCAGGTCACCCAAATTGTCTGGGAGCTGCCTGAATATAGATGGTTTAGTACGATATTATGATTGGAACAAAAATCTCTCGAAAACCTTCCCATGTTTGGCGAAATCTTTCCTCTAGTCTGACCACATATTGCCGGAGTTGTGTGCGGAAAATCAAGCTAAGGCTACTGCATGACGCCGATTGACATCATGATCAAAGAAGAATCTAGAAAGAGCTGTGTGTTTAGTCAAGCATGAAAGCGAATCTGAAGCTCCTAGTAGTAATTACTACTTATATGCGAACGCAGTGCCGGCATTGCTTTCATGTATGCAAAAGGACATTGCTTACATAGCAGCCTGGGGTAGCACGATTGTGGTGCTAAGATTTGATTTTCTCTGGAGTTTCTCCCACTTTTGCCAGCTTTTGCTGCAGCACCAGGCCGCCTCTATGCGCTCACTTATCTGGAAGTTTCTTTTTCTTTGTTGGCTTCAGCTCTCCGGTGCACAGTGTTGTGTGTCCTCTATGGCCATGGCGCTTAGTAAACAAGACAAGACATATCTCCAAGCCTTTTTAAGGCAGCATACTCCTGAGTTTGGCTGTATTGTGACATCATGGGAAGACGAGCATCATGCATTTTGTGCGGTTTGCAGTTGTGACATCAGCATCTCACACCGCGGAACTAACTTTGCAATACACAAATCGTCGAAGAAGCACGCCAGCAACTTTCAGTGCCAAGAGAAGCAGCAATGTCTGCAACAATTTTTTTTGTGGACTACGCCAACGACGTCATCCGAGCAGAATGCTTGTTCACGGATTTCTTGTTCGAGCACAACATCCCGCTGAGCGCCTCTGAACATGTGAATCCTCTACTGGGGAAAATGGTCCCGAAGTCTGAGGTTGCGAAGCGCATCACATGTTCTAGGTCTAAGACTACATCAATTGTCGACGAAGTGGCTTGCCACACACAGAAGAGCGTGGTGAGCAACCATGAGTACTGTAGATACACTGTCCTCAAAAATGTTCAGTGAATGGCTGAAACTGAGTACAAACAGCTGTTCTTGAACATTTCTGACAGATATATGCTACAGACATTACTGTATGGTTAATACAAGTTTCGGCCACAGGCATGAACTGAGCGTACTTCATCGTTGGGGGCTATCATGATCATCATCGATCGTTGTTGGGGGCTATTATGATGATCATCGAGATCTTGCAGCTGAATTGCATGGGTCTTGGTAATGATGCTAGACTTGCGAGACAGTACGAGAACGTTATACAGCCGAGCATATGCAGCACTGCTGCTGTAGTTTTCAGTGATGTTGACCTGCAAAGATGTGTTGTGCCTTTGTTTTGTCTTTTCCGTCACAGTGGTTCCTTACTCCACATGAAAGTGATCCGCAAGTGTCATTGCCCTGTACTGGCTCGTGCTGTCAGTTCTATTCATGATGTTAGAATGGAGGCTTGCAGCTGAGTGCGGTCAAAGAATATGGTTTCTCAGAGAGGATTCGAAGCATTTGCAAAGGTGAGTATAGTCTTTGAGTGCTTGATAACCTTAGTAATGCATAAAAGGGTTATTTATTTATTCATTCATTTCAGTACCTTCAGGGTCCGAAGGCGTTATATATATAGGCTGCATGAATAGGTATTCTTGCCGATGGCATTTTCAGTGTGCGCTAGTACTCCCACGCTTGAATGTTGTGGTTGGAGCTGAAGAGGAGAGCCTCCCACTGAATCTCATGGCCTTTGATAATGAGTTGCTGCATGCGGCCATGCGTGCTGCGGGGTGACAGAGGTAGTGGTATGCTTGGCTATTATTGCTGATACATTAGGGAACTATCGATACAACAAATCTCAGAGGACCGCTAAAATAATTTGTTATATTGAAAAGTCGTTATAGTGATATGTGGGGGGGGGGTTAACGTCCCAAAACCACTATATGATTATGAGAGCAAAAAAGTCGTTATAGTGAAGGTATTAAAAAAAAAAATGCCAGGCCTGCGCAGAAAGCGCAGCGCAGTCACAGCGAAAGCTCGAAGAGCGGCCAATCAGAGCCTTTTCCAAGCACTCATTGGGTAACTGCAGCAAGCACACTTGGTTGATGCCCACTACGATATTGATAATAAATATTTTAATGTAGTAGGCCAGCATTCGCTTTGCTACTTTTCGTCATTATTCTGAGAAGCATGGTATTCGCTGGACTATTTGCGAGGAATTTCGTACCAATTGTTAATGCAGTGGCTGAGGACGATGAGAAATTATGCCTGAAGTGGGTATGCGCCACAGTTAATAGTCGAACAAAAACAAGCTTTTGTAATGGGTTGGACCATTGCATGACCCACTCGTTACGCAATTCACATTGTGCGACGATTGCGTGTTCTTCCGCTGTTTTAAAATGCTTTATAAGTCGTATTAACGCGATTGCTGTCCTGACATCAAGCCTGCCTAAGGCAAGTTTGCCAACAAGTCCCAAGCACCGGTGTTGCTCAATGATACAATACTGGGCTGGCACCCAGCGGACCTGGGTTCGAGCCCCATTGTGTCATAAGTACTAGGTTTTTTTTTTTTAAATTATGTGCTATGTGGTTACGAACACTGGCGAGGGCACCGGGCAACTACGGCGCTGCACGAGACCAGAGTTGTGATCTCATAACAGCTGTCGCTGTAAAATTCGTGTAAAAATTGTAAATGCAGACACGTGAGTCGCCCACCTGTGCTGTGTACACATTCGCGACCGTGTTATGCTCTTCGAGTAAACGCCAAAAAAACAAGGACAAAATATTACGAAAAAAATGCACGTTTATTTGAGAAAAAGTGCGATCTATCCTGGGGTGAGCAGGTTGATTGCTGAAAGACGAGCTCTTAAATGTGCGCATCCCTCTTACGCGCTGCGAAGCATCACCATTAAATATTGAATCTTCACGTTGGTTTGCACACGCTGCTTGAACGCGTCTTCGCTCTCGTTGCCGTTTCCTTATCACGACAAATGATATAGGTCTTATCGGTCGTCAGCTAAGCTCACATGCATGCTTCGTCGTCGCGCTGTGTGTAGTGTTCGAGTAATGCACAAGTGATCATCGGCGACTTTGTTTGATAGGTCACTCGCGTCGCATTTTTCACTGTCGTAGCATTCCTTTCATGCTGCTTTTGGAGCTCATCTGAAACGTTCAACCCAAAGTTTAGCCGTGGAACATGCATGCCGATCAAGCTGTCTGACAAAAACAAAGGTAACAAAGCGAAGCCCGATGCAAAAATCAAGTACCAGGCAATGGTGATGGCAATAGGGCTATGAAACATTTGAACAGGGTAGGCAGATGGAAATCTGCGGGTGCTATGATGATGACGATAGTGGCACGTATGGAGCTGGGCATTATTTTCTACAGCTGTGAGTAACGTTTTCAAATTGCTATTCGTTATTTTGAAGTTTATTCGTTATTTTGAAGTTATTTTGAAGTTTACAGTACTTGAGATGCAAACAAAATGTTTAGGGACCTTTTTCACTTGTGTAGCCTGTGCATGCACATTGGCATTAACGAGGCATACACCATGGTTTTTGGTGGGCAGGAGTCTACAGAGTGTCATTTGGTGTCGCAAGCTTGCAAATGTGGCTCCCTTATAAAAGTCCCAACGCAGGTCTCCGAGATTGTGTCAAAGCAGGGTGGGCGATTGCTAAAGCCAAGGGTCACTAGTTTAGCTTTCGGCATGATTGAAGGCACCGTTCAGACTCGAAAAAGCTCATTTATAGAAGTGCTTCTGCTGTACCCATAGATGCGCACAAGGCTCCCCCTAGTGGAGGCTAAGGTGCCTCGATGCGCATGCCTTTACTTCCAGCACGGAGGAAGGAAAGGTAAGGAGAGGGCATGCCCAGCCAGTGCAGGGCGTAAAAAATGTGGCGGAAATTACGTCACGCGCGACCATATTCACTAGGCACAATGGCGGCGTTTTGTTATTGCTGATGTAGTGCGGTGCGGCATCGTTCAGACGGTCCAGCGGCGGTGTGCGCGTTTTCATGGGCCTCGCACCTAACCGTGGCATACTGCAGGTGTTCGACAGCATCCATTATTTGTGCCGCATTGTTAGCTACGCGATTTTCCCCCGGTGGTGGCTGTAACCAGGTGTCTGAACTAGAAACCACGAAACGAGCGCGCGTATACATATTCCGAATTTACAGCGTCCGTCAAAATTATGCTGAAAAGCCATCATAAAAGATAACGACTGTGCTGAAGAATTCGTTCAATGAACGCCTTGCAGGTTAGTGACAGTTATGCGGTGTTGCTTCTTGTGACAACGGACGATGCATTTGCGGACCACAGGCCCTTATTAAGACTGTAATCTAATCTTGCTTTTCATGTTCCTGTACAGTTACCGGTTGGCACAAATTTCGGTGCATGGTTCGTCACGCGGCAATGTCCGAAAGATAATCTTTATTTTCACAAAGAACACATCAAATAAAAAAAAGCTGAACGTGCAACTTGCCGTGTTTATCGTTAACGCCCGTAGAGCAAGAGTACAACAGCCATACGCTGAGATTTCGTTAACCGTATCGCGGCAAGTCAGCGTGTTGAAATCCGTTCCGTTGGTTTCGGATAGCACCGACGCACGCGGCGCGCAGGCCACGTGCTTTTTGAGACAGAGAGGGAGTCGCGCCTTCTGCTTCGCATTCACATGTAAACAAGAGAGGAGAATTCGTCAATATGGCCGACTTCCGGCTTCAAAATAAGTGACGTCAGGGCCTCTTCTTACCTTTCCTTCCTCCGTGACTTCCAGGGTGCAGACGCTTTTTGACCCACTCTGCGCCGCCATTTCTTCGCAAGGAACCATACTGGTTAAAAGATGTCAGGCGGAGTGTAGTAGTGGCTTGTGCGATGACAGTGCTGCAAACATGTTGGTTTTTAGTTTAATGAATCAGTTCTTAGACCACTATGACTGGCTACTGTGGGGCACTCGCTTACATGTGAAAGGCCAACAAATATTTTGTTCTTTTCATTACAGCGAGCAAATAAAAAAAAAAAACAGAGGTACAGGTGAAACACTGCTGTTGATATATGACAGACAGCCCCAACAAGGTCATACTCTTGTAATATTTTTCGAAGAGTGTTTACGAGTAGAACGGCTAACTTAGTTTATGGTCGATGAGATTGCATAAAAGTCCTAGACCTATTGAGCTAATTTACGCTTAGATAAGCCTAATTTAAAGATGTTAGTCACGCCTGAGTGTTATAGTCAAGTTAATGAATACTATTCAATAATAATTCTGGCAGTAATCAATACCATTTAAGCTACTGGATAAAGCGATGTTAAGCTTAGAAAAAGCCTAGTTAAGCCCAGCACATCCTATCTTAATTGGGACTGGACAAGTCAATCGCACTAATAAGTGCCATTCAATACCGATCAATGCGAATCAGGCCAGATTAGTGTGGATATGTAAGATTTCACAAATATGGACAAAATAAGATGGCCTTGGGAATAAACATGTGGTAAGTTACACTGCAGTGGATTAAATGAAAACTATTAGTTGGATTAAGCTAATGCAGAGTGGGCTAATTTGCATTGAGCTAATCTTGAATAAAACAATTTTGATTAAGTTGAAAATGTCTAGCTGTATAGTGATACTGAGTGTGGACCGATTCAGCCAACTTGGATTAGGCTATAAAAAGATAATCTGGAATAAGCTCATCTTGAACAAGTTTATTTTGAGCAAGTTTGAGACAAGGAGTCTCAAACGTACAGCTTGCAAACCTCTTGCGTGTGTCCCGCACATTGCTATATTCGTCCTATAATTTATTCATTTTCATAGTAAATACGTTCATGATCAAAGCAGGTATGATTGATCGAAAACATTGTTTTCGTGAGACACCCCAGGTGGTCATATGTGTTGACGTGTAACCGTGAAATAAAAACAGTATCCAGATTTTACCCATTTTAGAGATCAGTGCCAGCATATTGTTCGATGGAATCGTGACTCAAAATATTAAGAAATGACTATTATATGAGATATGTGAAAGGTTTTCTTTTCAATGGTATTGTTTGCTGACAATGCTTACAGACTAACTCCCACTCTCCCCCTCTTTTTCTACTCTTACATTCTTCCCTGATTCAGCCCTTGCAAGACTAAATTCTGTGCCTGCTACTTGAAATTAGTTTGTGCTGGTTTATAAACAGTTAAATGACTGAGTATGGCCACACCAAGCCGATCTGGATTAAGCCAACATAAACTTATCCTGAGTCTGATTCAGTTGATATTACCTAGTTGGTCAGATGTTTGACCATAATATTATTCAGATTTTTACTGATGAAACAAACTAATCTGAATAAGGCTAATCTTGAACAAGTCAATTTTTAATAAATGTAAATTGTCTAGCCAGTTTAATAACTGAGTATGGCTACAATAAATCAATGAGAATTAAGCAATTCTGGAGTAAGCTAATCCTGAGCAAGCCAATATTGAGTAATCTGCAATTATCTCGCCGGCTTTATGGCCAAGTATAGTTAGGTTAAGCAAATTTGAATAAGTCCAGATCAGCT